CCACCACCACTACGGCCGCCTCCACCGCCGCTGCTTTCGCTGGAGGGCGGGCGGATGTACGGGGCGGCTGGGCCCCCGGCGCGAAGCGCCTCGGCGCCTGTGGTCCGCTCGTTGCGGCGGCCGCCACCGCCAACGACGGGGTCAGTGAAGAAGGGGCTGCCAGCGAGGAGCAGCCCCCACGGCGCCTGGCCGAGGCCAAGGGGGTCCTGGGCGGGGGGCAGGTTGTCTGTTGCTCGGGCGGGAGGCCCCGGAGGGGTTTGATAGGGAGATAAGCGCCTGGGGAGGAGGTTTGGATTGTAGGGTATAGGGCGAAGGAGGCTAGGCCTGCTCTCTGCTCATTTTGCAGGCTGGAGTGGCTGCAAGCGGCCGCTGCGGACATGGGCATGATTTGAGGGTAGGGTGTTGCTGCTCATAAACAGGTCCCGCAACTGAGGGCATTCGCCTTTCGACAAAGTCTTTAAATTGACATACATGTTTTGGATACCTCTTGACTATGGTGGTCGTCTCTGTTAGTCCTCTGTGGTGCTTAGAAGTAGTGGAAGATGTGGGTGAATTTAAAGAGGAACCAGGAAGAGGGTAAACTGCTTATGATGGGCGATTTTGCCACCATTCTCTTGCTCTGTAAAGTCATTTGAAAGTGTACTTCACGTTTCATCTTTAAAGGGTTTTTGTCTGGAGAAATGCAGGTTTTGAACTTATATATAATTCAGGCAAATGTAATTCTTTGTGCCTGCCCAGGTCTGCTGCTAGGCTGAAAGTGTATGTTCTGTGTGGTTTATGTGTGACTACGCTCAGGTTTGATGCTTTGTTTCTAAAATGGATGTTATGGCACTGGTATTTTTAAGGCCTTATTTTTCCCCCTCCAGGGTGTCTTTTATGAATAATCAAAAGCAGCAAAAGCCAACGCTATCAGGCCAGCGTTTTAAAACCAGAAAAAGAGGTAAATATTTATGTTTTAATAATCTCTCTCTTCAAGCTTTCGGGATAACTTTCATGTCTTGGTTTCTCCGGCAGACTATTGCTTACTACTAAAACCTGAAGTGAAAATACCAGGAAGGAACTTGAACATCTTCTAGTTCACTGCCATTTTAGATATACCCTTAGTATTTCTACTGCTTTTCCAAGCCTTTAAGATTTTTGGTGTCAACTTATATATATCTAAACAGGCTAGTGAATTATCTTTTTACTGTGAAGATGAAGGGGCTCTAAAAAAAGCATGTCTTGTGTTTTCACTAGCTAAATTTCATTTAAACAAACTTTAGCTTGAGGGAAAGGGTTAATTTAATAAAAGGGTTAATTTAATAAAATGTGATTACTAGTTTGACCCAAACTTTGTGAAGATTTGTGAGAGAAAAGTCAAATTTTAACCCATGGAAGTTAATATTGGAACAGAGTTCACATTGCAGTCTTTTGAAACTATTTCCTCACAGACTTAGTAAGAAAAGTACAAGAATTATATTAACTACTTAATACAGTTGGTACTTAGATGAGTATTGAATTCTGTAGTAAGGCACTGCACTAGTTATACAAAGTTAAATATGTGGTCTCAGATATATTTTATATTGGGTTTAATATTTTCCCCTCAAACTTTACAGTGTTGTTGCTCAAAAGCACATATTGACCTTATCTTACAGGAAACTTTGAGGAAATAGAGAACTGGGTTGGCTACTGGTTATAAATTGTGTTTTTCTACCCTGTGTGGCAGACACTTTGAGATATGTATTACAAAATCTTTTATAATCTCTGGTTGTCATCTGCCCTACTTATAGCAGGGAGACCAAAGAATGATTTGATTTAAGCCAGTAAATTTTCTCAAGAAGAGGAATAGAAGTTGGGAACAAGAGGAATTCAGCAGTAATGGGGGAAGTCTGTATCCCAAACAGTGGATTATTGGTACCGCCTTTGTGTAAATATAGTATCAGGTAGTTTTATTGTTGTTAGTACTGGGAAGAGATGTCACTTCCCCAGTTCCAGATTGAGATCACTCATGGCCTCCTAGTTCTTAATGATTGGATCCTGACTACAGTGAACAACCATCCTCATTTGCCTGGGACTGAATAGAGTCCCTAGGACATAGGCCTTTCAGTGCTAAAAACAAAGTCCTAGGCAGACAGGGAAGAGTTGGTCACCCTAGTGCTGTGTGGAAATCAAGATATCATCTAACTTAGATAAATCAAACCCTATCCTTGAGTGTGTGATACAAACTCAGTAAAGGCTAGGGTGTGTACTTACCCATGGCATTGTTCAGCGTGCTTTCTATTTTATTTATGTCATTTAATACCCACAACAACTTTGAGGGGAGGGCATAGCTCAACTGGTAGAGTGCGTGCTTAGCATACACAAGGTCCTGGGTTTAATCCCCAGTACCTCCTCTAAAAATAAAAAAATAAACCTAATTACCTCTCCCCCCCAAAGAAAATTAAAATTAAAAAAAATTTTTTTTCAAATACTCACAACAACTTTATGGGATAGATACTAGTCTTAATCACCATTTTACAGTAGGGAAGTTTAGGCATGAAGAATGAGGTTAGTTGTTCAGCTTCAGACAGTTAAATGGTGATCATGATTTGAATCAGGCAGTTTGCTGCACAGTATAATCTCTTCATGGCTCAACTTCTGTGGCCTTCAACTTCCCTTCTGAATAATGGGAACAAATATCTACTGAGGGTAGATTTACTGTAGTTTTTGTCATATATTGAGTATTGAATAAATGTACTTTGTAACGATACCTTAAGTACTAAGTGAGTGAATTTTTTTTTAAAGTAGAGTGTTACGAGCATTTAAAGAAAATCAAGAGCTCCAGTTTTTGAACAAAATTTCACTCAGGAATAAAATTTACCTGAGGTGTAGAAGATGTCCTAGATTTCAGAAAAGCTCAGAGGCAATGGAAGAGCATTCCAGGTAGAAATTATCTCCAGGCAGTAGAAACACACTAGCTCATTTAGCTGACTTACGAGTCTTGTGTGAAAAAATAGTGGGAGAAAAGCCACACACGTCTTGTGATTAGGCAGTCCTGCCTTGCATTTGCAAAGGTGCAACTTGCAAGGGATGTGCGTTTAGTCTTCTGTTGTGTTTGCTCATATTTCAGGTCTTGGGTAATCTAGGTAGTATTTGTTTTCTCCAGCTGTTGAAATCAGTGAAATTGTGATGAATGTGGTTAATGTATTCAGTAGTTATAGCTTCATAAAGTTGTGATTTCATGGCATTTTGGTAAACCTTTTAATCTAAAACTAAATCTTTTGGGGTTTCTCCCCCCAGATGAAAAAGAGAGGTTTGACCCTACTCAGTTTCAAGACTGTATTATTCAAGGCTTAACTGAAACTGGTACTGATTTGGAAGCAGTAGCAAAGTTTCTTGATGCTTCTGGAGCAAAACTTGATTACCGCCGATATGCAGAAACACTCTTTGACATTCTGGTGGCTGGTGGAATGCTGGGTAAGTGTCTGGGTTTTGCGGGGAATGTGATGTATGGAGATTATGTAGAATCCAGAATATGAACTATTTGACAGGCGTATCAAGTTGGGGTGGCTTTGTTTCTGTTTGTTTTACCCCCTTACGATTTTTCCTTTTTTTTCTTCTCAAATTATGGTAAATTTGCAGATTGCCTTGCTCTGTCTGGCTTTATATTTGAAATCCATTACAGAACCATACCATTTGGGGAAGACTTTTCTGTCTGATACCTAATTCCCCACAAAATCCCCCTCAGTGATTTTTCCAACTTGTGTTTGTACACTGCCATTTAATGAGGAAACCACTGTCTCTTGTCCTGTGTTACCAAATACTTCTATACAGTCAGTCCGCCATGTCCAAAGGTTCCGCATCCATGGATTCAACCAACTGTGGATCAGAAATACCGGGTGGCGGGATGGTGTTCAGAAAGTTCCAAAAAGCAAAACTTGAATTTCCCGCAGTCTGGGCAACTATTCACATAGCATTTACATTGTATTAGGTATTATAAGTAACCTAGAGACAGTTTAAAGTATACAGAAGGATATGTGTACGTTATATGAAGATAAGCCGTTTTATTTAAGAGACTTGAGCATCTGCAGATTTTGGTATCCACGTGGGTTCTAGAACCAATCCAGGATGACCATATATCTGAAGACTGTAATCCTGCAGTTGTCAGTATATTAGCCACTAGCCACATGTGGCTATCAGTCACTTAGAATATGGCTAGTCCAAATTGAGATGTACTGAAAATGTAAAAATATACATTGGATTTTAAAAGACAGTATTAAAAAGAATGTAAGATTTCTCAGTAATATTTTGAATACTGAGATGTTAAAATCATATTTTTCATGTGTTGAGTTAAAGTATATTAAAGTTAATTTCACGTTTTATTTTTAATATGTCTACTAGAAAATTTGAGATTACATTATATGGCTCACATTATATTTCTGTTGCATAGCACTGCTCTTACTCCTGCCTTTACCCTCAACAGATATCTTAACAGAATGTGCTACTTACTTACGTACCTTCAAATGGTGATAGTAATTTCATTTCCATAGCCCTTTTAAGGTATTTCAAAATGTTCTTACAGTAACATTGTATTGAACCTCACAGTCAAGCTGATAGCATCAGAACTCTATTTGTATACATGCAGAATGGAGGCTTAGACAGGCTTCTCTGGTTTACATGCAGTCAAACAATTGCTTGGTGGTGGAACTGGGAACTTAATGTTCATATGTTCTGATGCCTGGTCTAATGAGTATCCCTTTTATTGTAGTACCATTTTGTGGTAAGAAATGGGAAACGTGTCTATTTTCTATTCATAATGCTGTTACCAATAAGCCACTTTTTAAAATTCTTTTTAAAGAATCTGTTTTAGTAATGAGATTTTCAAATATAGCCTAAGAGACTAGGTTAATGAATTTCTGATGTTACCCAACTTCAGTTTTTAACAGTCTTCATCCATCTATGCCCCCACTGACTTCATCTCCTCTCCACGCCCCCCCCATATTTTAAAGTATACATCAGATATCATTTTATGCATAAATACTTACAAATGTGTCTACAAGATAGTCTTTAATTTGAGGATTTGTATAGCCCGGCCTCTTGGAAGCTTCTAAAAGGTGGTTTCCTATATGGAACATCAAAACCAACTCTGAACATCTCCACTTGAGTGACAGATTTGGCACTGCTGAATTAATCCAGTGAGTTCCATTGGGTTGCTAAAGAGGGTTATTTTGTTTATTCCAGTAAATTGTTTTCACTTTATTCATACATATTGAACTATTGGGAAATTGACTTACAATAAATAAATTAAAATTACCATTTTATTTTATGAGAATCTTTACAAATGGTAAGATTGAATAGTTGTACACAGATGTTGAACTATACTGCTGTACACCTGAACATTAAAAATAAAAACTGAATTTTTTTTAAAAAGTAAGTTTGAAATAATTACTAATTTTAAATGAAGGTCTTCACAAATTTTTTGTGAAATATACCTTAGCCCCAGGTGGTACACTGGCAGATGACATGATGCGTACAGATGTCTGTGTGTTCGCAGCACAAGAAGACCTAGAGACCATGCAAGCATTTGCTCAGGTAAACTAAACTTCATGTAATTATTGCAGTTAGCTATTATCCATCTGACTAGTATTCAAGGAATAATCTACTTTTAAGAGGTCACAGGTAGAAGGTTAAAGGAATTTGAGCTGAAGGTTTAGAGATGTTCTTGGCACAGTATGATGATATAGAAACTTAAAATGTGTTGAGGAAAACAAAGTAGAAAAAAATTGAAATAGCTCTCCTTTTCCTATTTGTCCCTCTAGAATTAATTCATTTTTAAGAAAAAGTCAAGCTGAAAAAGGAAAATCAGTTCCCTGTAGTGATTTTCATCACTGAATTATTCTGCATATAGCTTTTTAAAGGTGAATGAGTTATAGGGAGATTAGCTTATTAGTCAAAAATCTCATTTGAAAGTTTCATACACAGTTATGCTTGTGTTACTATAAGCAAAGAATTCAAGTACATCTAACCTGAGGTATTGTTTTCTATGTCATTAGGAAAGTAGAACTATATTTTATGATCTTATTCTGTTAATATCCTACAAATGTGTAAATGACTTGTATTTGAGCAATAATTAGTCCATGCTTTATTTAATATTTGGCAGTAAAAGTCTCTTGCCTGGTGGTGATTAAAGTGTTAACAGTATTGTGGTGTTTGGGAGCTGGCAGACTTCTCAAGCTAATTAAACATCTGATGAAAGGTTCACTTCTCTGCTGTTATAGAGATACTGTGGGAGAAATCTCAGCAGCCCTGACCTAGATCTTTTAGGAATCTGACATTTATACATATGGAGTTATCATTCAGTTCCTTTACATTCTTACAGGTTTTTAACAAGTTAATCAGGCGCTACAAATACCTGGAGAAAGGTTTTGAAGATGAAGTAAAAAAGGTATGAGCAGCAGTATGCTTTGTGAAAAACAAAAGGTTGCAATCAGAAGGGAATGCTAAATCCTAATTCTGCCATGGATTTGAGATAATTTTAGATATTTAGGTAGGCTGTCTCTGAAATTTGGGGGTATATCATTTAGTTTAATTGCTGTACACTGTATCTTATCTCTATATCCAATCAAGTGGCAAAGGGGTAAAACTCAAAGTGGGGTTGGTTCAGAAGACAAGAGGGTAGCAGATCAGAACTACACACATTGAGAAAGAGAAGTTTAACACCCTTGTTCTTTGAGTCTTAAATATTCTACATGTAAGTGCACAGAAAACTTGGTAATGTTAATAGTAAAATTTAATGAGTACAAGGCACTGTTCTATTATTAACTTACTTAATATTCACAAAAACCCTGTGCGACAGGTTTTATTGCCCACATTTCAATATAAGGAAACTGGGGTAGAGGTTGAGTAACTTGCCCAAGGTCACTCAGCTAGTGAGTATTAGAACTGAGATACAAACTTGGATGGTCAGACCCCAGAGCCCACATTTGTAACCAATATGGTAAGCTTTACTGCTGCTCTTTATATAATGCAGTTGCTCTTTTAACCCTTAATTCTTTACTTTTATAGCTGCTGCTGTTCTTAAAAGGTTTTTCAGAGTCGGAGAGGAACAAGCTGGCTATGTTGACTGGTGTTCTTCTGGCTAATGGAACACTTAATGCATCCATTCTTAATAGCCTTTATAATGAGAATTTGGTTAAAGAAGGTAATAAACCTTTAATAACCTTTAATTGGCTGAGGGTCAGGTAGATAAGAGTATAAACGATGAACTGATAAAAAAGATACGTAGTTCATATAGATTTGACTTGTGTAATAGTCTTAGTTTTTTGACTATCCTTAAATTTAATTGGTTCATTTCAACTCATTAGTCATTTAATGTATACTTTGGACATCTAGGCTTAAGGGCTTTCTTTAGACATACAGCATATATCCAGGATCAACTATCGCTTTGCTTATATATGAAACTAACATTGTAAATCAAAACTTCAATAAAAAATTGTTTTAAATTCTATAAAAAGGAAACAGTTTAACTTGACTAACAATATACAATTAGCGAAATTGGAGTTTAATGGTAAGCAGTGGCAAGGGAATATTCTAGTGTTAAGTTTGGGGATAAAGTGAATAATCCCGTGTGGTGGAACCTTGGAAGGAGGAAATGGGGAGATAACAGTAGTTGAAATCCAGGAAAGTATTTCTGTTGAGTAAGCTCTTGTGTTCTACAGGGGTTTCAGCAGCTTTTGCTGTAAAGCTCTTTAAATCATGGATAAATGAGAAAGATATCAATGCAGTAGCTGCAAGTCTTCGAAAAGTGAGCATGGATAACAGACTGATGGTTTGTAACTTTTTATTCTTCACATTCTTGCCAATACTTTAGGAACATGTAATAGACAACTTTCCCATTTTTAATCTGTGAAAGGAGGAAAAGTGTTTTTCTTAATCTGATTTGAAGACCATTTAACCAGGTCACATTTTCTTTTCAGGAACTTTTTCCTGCCAATAAACAAAGCGTTGAACACTTCACGAAGTATTTCACTGAGGCAGGCTTGAAAGAACTTTCAGAATATGTTCGGAATCAGCAAACCATAGGAGCTCGTAAGGAACTCCAGAAAGAACTTCAAGAACAGATGTCCCGTGGTGATCCATTTAAGGATGTGAGATATTTTTGTTTAAATCATCTTTATATGGCTCATAACATTTGGGGATTTTGTAGGGTGCAAGCCAATGGAAAGACCTTCTGTTCCCGTCTTGATCTTTTCTTAGGTGGTTTGCTAATATGTAATATAAGGTTTGAATTGGAATTCTATCCCTTCTTATTCTGAAAGTTCTGTGATTGTATGTAGTCATTGCTAGTTGCATGGAAAGATGTTCATGCTTTTGTAAAAGGTCTGCATTTGATGTGTGGAGTATATACATATCAGAATGTATTTCTGTACTACATTTGGGTTCTTTTGCAGATAATTTTGTATGTCAAGGAGGAGATGAAGAAAAACAACATTCCAGAACCCATTGTCATCGGAATAGTGTGGTCCAGTGTAATGAGCACTGTGGAATGGAACAAAAAAGAGGAGCTTGTAGCAGAGCAAGCCATCAAGCACTTGAAGGTATTAAACTGTGCCTTGATAAAACATTATTCTTCTTTAAGTGGGGATAAGTGAACTGTCAGTGTACTTTTTGTTCTAAAATGGTGTATCACATCCTGTGGTTCCTGGGAATAAACCAGCAGTAAGTAGACAAATAACATATTAACTATTGATGATAACCTTTTGAAAAGTCTGACTTTCTTTGGCTCACAGGTTAAAAACAAATACATGTTTAACATTGAACTATAGTCAATATCTCATGATAACCTTTAATGAAAAAGAATATGAAAATGAATGTATGTATGTATATGCATGACTGGGACATTGTGCTGTACACCAGAAATTGACACATTGTAACTGACTATACTTCAATTAAAAATTTTAAAAAGAAAAATTTTTTTAAGTAGCTTAAGCTTGCAATTTGGTGTTTGCTTTTGAGGGAATATTGGAAAATAGAAGGATTCTTTTCCTTTTCCCCCCTTTAAAATATTAACATTGTATTGACAGTTATCTGGAATCCTTGGTGTAGTATTGCTTTTTGGCTTAGATACTTAGATTTTTCTGCTTTTCTCTCCCCCCCCCCAACTTCCGCTAAATAGAATATAATTTACAGTGATTGTAAATGATGAGGTATGTTCTGTCTTTTAGGAATTTTGTAATGGATGGTCATTTTACTAAGTGACTCGATCTTTTCTCCCTTCCCTTTAAAAAGCAATACAGCCCTCTACTTGCTGCCTTTACAACTCAAGGTCAGTCTGAGCTGACTCTGTTACTGAAGATTCAGGAGTATTGCTATGACAACATTCATTTCATGAAAGCCTTCCAGAAAATAGTGGTGCTTTTTTATAAAGGTAATTTAAATTTTGAATTTTGTGAATGAATACATTTAATAAAAATCCTAGAAAACTCAAAATAATTCTGAGTAGTCCTCTAAACATCACCCTAAAATATTTTACTCTAATCACAGGACTGAGTTGTCTGCTTGAATTGGGTGCTTTTTAGTACATTACCATAAAATCATCTGTCAACCTTACTAACAAGTTAAAATCTAAAGCCTTCTTGATGAGGCTTCAAACTTCACTTCCTGTACTCCACCAGTCTCCTTCCCCAGACAGATGATTTTGTTAGTTCCTGTGTTTTAAACTTAAAGGTCTACCTGCATCCCCAGAATGAATGAATGAATGAATTTATTTATTTATTTATTTGTTTATTTATTCCCTGTGCTTCAGTGATTATCAGCTTGTGTTTAGGTTTCTTTAAAGTATCTATACCCCCTACTTCCTTCACTCTTTAGACTATTTAGAAATAAATCTTAGAAATCTTCATTTAGTTCTGGGAAAATTAATAATTAAATTTTAATTGTAAAGTACATGGACTTTTTGCTTTTTAATAAAATCATGGTTAACATTTTCACACCTAAAAATATGAATGAATGATCTATCAAATACCCCTGATTATCACAAGATTCCTCAACCTTGGTAATACTGTTCTGGGCTATATAACTCTTTTGTAGGTGACTGTCCTTTGCATTGTAGAGTGTTTAACAGCATCCCTGGCATCTTCCCAGCAGATGCCGGTAGCACCTCTCCCCAGTGTAACAACCAAGAATGTCTATAAACATTGTCAGATGTCCCCAGGGGGTAAAATTTCTTTCAGTTGAGAGGATATTGGTTTAATAAGGTTGATTTCATGGTTGTGGTTTCATAAATTGGCCAAATTTTTAAGTTTTTTTCTTTTCTTTATTTATTTTTAATTGAAGTAGTGTTGATTTACAGTGTTTTGTTAGTTTCAGGTGTAAAAAAGTTTCTTGATATAGGGTTCCCATTTTCATCTTCTCTCCTTTTCTTTAAAAATTAATTTGTTGAAGAAACCAGTTAAGACATTGTAAGCAGCGAAGATAATTGTTTGTATTTTACTTTTCAAAGGATCTTTTTTGCCACATAGGCATTCGCACCTTAGGAGGTTTCTAACTCTGCCTTAGTTAGAGAAGTACTATGTGAAAACTCCCTGAATCTAAAGGCTGTCCTTTTCTTTACAGCTGAAGTCCTGAGTGAAGAACCCATTCTGAAGTGGTATAAAGATGCACATGTTGCAAAGGGGAAAAGTGTCTTCCTTGAGCAAATGAAAAAGTTCGTAGAGTGGCTCAAAAATGCTGAAGAAGGTTAGTGTTTTCATTTGTGCAGTTTATTTGGTAAAGCCTAAAGACTAATTTTAATGTAGCCAAAAATGTGTCCATGCATGTTTGCCTTTCATTCAGATACCATTTTGTACCTAGAGTACAAATTTTTGTTCATTTATAACAGACCTGCAAAAACTCACTTACTTTAAAAGGCAGGTGAGGTTCAACCATAATGCTAACATTCTTAGGAAAATTGGAAATTTTGAGAATATTTAATAAATATTTATGAATTTTGAGAGTTAATAAAAGTCCTTAAAAAAGCTTTAAAGTTATAAATGGAAACTTTTGCTTTCTGATATCATGTAATGCTTGACTACATTTTCCCCCTTTTCTAGAATCTGAGTCTGAAGCTGAAGAAGGTGACTGAATTTTGAAACTACACCCTCAGTAAAGCAAACAGGAGTTGTAGATAAAATGTCATGTCTCATGTGTCCTGGTTCTTACATCTTCCTACCTCCCTATATCAAGCATGATATAAGGGCTTTCATGGCAAATTTTATTTTAACTGTTTCTATGGTTACTGGAAATGTTGGCTTTAGTTTCTAAAACCATGTTTGAGGTAGCTATAGGAGCTATAGATTTGAATCTAATGTTGCATTAGTCTTTTCAGTTATCTTCTACCTCCTGTATTTTCTACTGTAATAATGTAATTTAAGGCCTTCCACAATGAACAGTTCACTTTATTCCCTGGGTTTTCTATATGAACAGTTTTCAAGATATGATTTGGTTAAAAATAATTTGTTATAAAAATTCTGTTTGCAAATTAAACTGTAAAAGTATCCAAAGTCTCAGAAAGTAATGATTTGTGTCATAATTTGGTATGCCCAAAGCCCTGCTTATCAATGAAAATCTCATATACAATAATTGAATTCATTAACATGAATCTTGAGTATTTGGACCATTGCTTGCATGTTAATATTTTCTTGCATTTTTAACCCCAAATGTGCTTGAGCCCAATTGTTTGCTCTCTGATTTTCATTCCTTAAAATGAAGCCATGGAGAACAAGTGAGGTCTTTGGGAAATTGTATGTGGCAGAGGTGGTGGGAAGAAGAAAATAGAGCTTTTTCCCATTGAGAAACTTCTGCATTCATTTTGTATCTTTCCAGACAAAACATGGGTAATTCTTTTCATACAACCATCTTCAAAGAAAAGTCTTGTCATCTAAAGTATTAAATTTATCATACACTTAGATTGGTAAGAAAGGACTCATAAAATAGTGTGAGAAAAGCAAATGACTGTTCTAAACAACTAAAATGGTTGAAAGAAAAGAAACAACTAAATTGTTGTCAGCATGTTCTAATTGGGACTCTAAATATAACTCCCATTTCCTGTTGGCTTAGAGTATTTGTTGTAAAGAATGAAGTGCAGTGATAACCATATATTCCTACTTGGTCATACTGGTCCAGCTTCATTCTCTTCACAAATTTCACTAATGATTCAAGCATCTGGCTATTAACTTACCTAGTTGCCATTTTTTAAATAGCCATGAGCCAAATATCTCCTATACAGTTGATCTATTTATTTTAATGGTTGCCTTTTACTTTCCATCTTTCTTTTCTTGCTGCTACCCATCTTTATATGTAGTTGTTAGAAAAACAAAATGTGGCCACATTTTTTGGTGGAAAGAATTCATGTTAAAAACGAGTATTTTCACAGTTTTTTGATTGTTGAAAGAAACGAGCTTGGAATAATGCCACCAGAGACTGCATGGAAATTGCCCCTTTCAAAGGTGCCATTCTTAAGAGCCAAGAATTTCGTGTTTAGAAACTCATCTTGACGGAGTAACATGTAATATAGTTTGAAATAAAGGTATTATAACCTTATGAAGAAGAGCATTATAACTGATACCATTGTGAGTGGGGTGAAATTGTTAAATGAATAACTTTGATAAAGCTTTCCTGCACAGGCAAAATGTATTCACTAGGTTTCTACGTAGTGATCTGCTTTTACTTTGTAACTTGTAGTCCTTAAAAGACTTTTTTAAAAAAAATAAAGTCCATCCTTACACTTAGGTTTATATAGGTCAGTCTTCTTTTTTAATTTTTTATTTTTTTGTAAATTCCATGTTAATACCTGGTGATAACTGTATGTTATGCTTTCAGATGTCTCTGCTGTATAAGCATTAAATAATTGCTCTTTTCATTCTCATGACTCCCAAACTGTAAACACCTACACGGAATTCTAATGTAGCGGAAGCCACATTAACATTTCTGCAACAAATCATTGCATGTTACTGCAGTACAAAGTGTACCCTGTTTATTATATACTGTGTATAGTGAAAGAGTGTGTAGTCTTCGAGAACTACATTATGATCTTTGTATGATCATAGAGTTTTATCCTTCATAATGATAAAGTAGTGTTTACTTACTACAGTGTTTGGTAAATGGGTAAGTCACCTGTGACCGTGTAGTGTAAAGAAAGGGAATGCTTCCTAAAAAGACTTAAAAGATTTTCATTTTGAATTTTAAGTGGCAGTTTGAAACTCAGCTACTAGTGCCAACTCATGGCCTCAAATATGTAATTCTTGGTACACATGTTAAAACTGTACTTGTAATTATGATTGGATAAATGTTAATTGATTTTCCTAACTTGGTGTCAGTTTCTAAGGATAAGCCTCCTCTCAGATGCCATAATTAAATGTGTGTTTAGAGCTGATCACAAGTTTCTTAATTATTCTGGGAGCATTGTCCTAGAGGCATTTATTATGTTCTTATGAAAACTCCAAATACCAAAAATGTCACAGGATATTTTGACATAACATAATGATGGTGGGGAAAGGAAATGCACGTGACTACTTCTAATTCAGTGTTTCTTAAAGCTTTTTCTCATCAATCCCACCACTGAAGCCTTTTAAAAACTTTTTTTTAATAGTGCCCCAATAAATTTTAATACAGATAAGCTGTATATATATTGTATCTGCTTTATACGTGAAAAGAGTAAGGTTTTACTGTCCTACTTGGGGGTGAAACCACCCCCATTCAGAATGCATGCCCTAATATATCTTTTTTTAAACGGGAGAGGACCTAGTGATAAACATTTGCATTGACAGACATACTTTATGTGTATCCAATCCTGAAGCATTTTTTTCTGCTAGAGTCACTGGCAAATAGAGGAAGTTTGTTTTCTGCCAGTCACCGTCTTTTAACAGTTCTACACCCTTCCCACCACGGGGAAGTCAGACATGGCATTTCCCATTGGCTTTGGAGGTCTTGACAGATTCTTACTTGATTATAAGTGTATCATAAACAGAATCATCCAGGTTCCTTCTCATCTATGAAAGTCAGTTAAAATCGTAGGCAAATGGTTTGTTTTAATTGAAGTTCTTGGTTATAGCACTGAAATGGTATTGAAATTTTACTGATGAGTCTGCTGTCACGTCAAGTAGGCTGCTGGCAGGAACTGATAAGAACTGTTGGTTGGCTTTAAATGTAACATAAATGCCAAAAGTTTTAGTGTACATTATTACTTAGACTACTGAATTACCTTTGTAAAAATGTCTTCAGATGCTACTTACAGATGCCATGTAGAATAGGCTAATAAGCATTTCTGTGAAAATTCTGGTAAACTGCCATGCTGATTTATTCATGTAAAGTATTAGTCCTCTAGTGTTGATGTAGAGTATGTCTATTCAGCCTACTGAGGCCTAACGGTTTAAAATACATTAAGAAGTAAGTAGGCTTTATTTAAGCGGAATCCAGAAGATATGATAAATGCTTTTGACATAAATAATGAATTTATAATTGGCCTCTGTCTAAAAACTTGAATTGCAGTGGATTTGTGCCTGAACACAATCTTACACAAAATTGTATGAAACTTGGTGTGGATCAGAAAGGCTTCCCTAACTATGGACTATTAGCAGCCACATCAAATCCAGGCATTTTAATTTTCCAATGCACTTATGATGCTTTTATCCTTATTCTAAGACTATCGTTTCACTGCTTAATGAATTGAAAAAACAGGATACTTTACAAATTCACGCAATCACTGTCAATTTAGTAGCGCCTCCCAAGCTCAACTGCTTGTGCCTGTTTAGTGCTCTAGAGACAGCAGCAACAACTGCTCAGTCCTCTGCTTTGTAGACTATCTAGAGGGACCGACATCTTGTTAACTACAGTATGTTCAGAATGTTTATGGCTGTATTAGTGCAGGTTTAGGAACTGCATTAAGTGTGTGTCATGAATTTGGGGTGCTACAGTTATCACATATAATAGAGCTGTTTCATTTCAGGGAATTTCCAGTCAGTGTAACCATTTTTAAATAACCTTAGGATGAAAATAGATTAAACCATTTTTTTAAGCTGAAATCCTGAAGGCTGTGCTTCAAGTTGACTCACAGATAAACCTATGGGGAAATAAGTGACTCACTCACAGACTGAAGCCTCTGTTACTTCAGAAGGATGTTCTACATTCTCTGGCATCTTAAGAATAAAATATTATCTCTGTAAATACACCTCATTTCCATTCTAGTTAGGACTGATGGATCCTGGCGTGGCAAACAGCTGAAGAACGAAGACAACTGGATAGCTGATAATCCAGCTAGTGCTTGGCCCTCTGGACAACCTCAAGTACAGCCATCCAAGCCAGTGATAACATTGCTGCATTATTTCTGTTTAACTGTGAAATTTGCTTCTTATCTGTACCCTTGAAATTGAATAAAATTTCATGAGACTCCTTATTAATGTAAAGAGAAAAGCAATGATTTGCATTGGTTGTATACTAAAAACCTGAGTGCTGGATTGAGTTAAGGCTCAGTAAATCCTGGTCCTTTCTGATTTGCCTTAGTATTAAAACACCATCAAACAATTTTTTCTCCTCCAGACCACGTTTGCTTTTGTTTGGTTCATGTGTACTTCAAACTCACCCAAATGTACACATTTCAAAAAATGCCAGTGTTTTACTTAATAAAATAGTAATGCCATCTTCCCTCAGAAAGCTTCAAGTCCCTTTTCCTTTCAGCCATCACATCTAACAGCTCAAGTCCTACCCATTCCAGTTAAGAAATGACTTCTCTCCGGTGCCACCACCCGAACCCAAGCCAACATCTATTAACAACGCTAGGGTGGTCTTTAAATGCAAGTATAATTTAACAGTCTGTAGTTTAACAGACTTTTCACCTTTGCCTGGAGGGCGCTGCATGATTCTTCAACTTACTCTGCCTTCCCTCATTCACCACTATATATCCAGTATTCAGAAGTACTTGGCAGGTAGTAAGCATTGAATAATTAGTTGCATAAGTGAAGAAATAAGAAATCAGTGTTTTTGTGAATTAAAATATTGAAGGCATGAAAAAAGCTGGTGGATGCTTGCATGTGGAATGAAGGCTGTTCTGTGAATTACAAATATTTAAAAATTTAGAAGTAACTTCTTCAAACAAGATTAATCCAAGATATTTCTGTTCTGTTCAATGATTAGGGTTGCTATGACTGATGTGGCCAGGATGGGATGAGGCTATCAGTCAACAAATAGGTGCATGTTTTCCGGTGCTCTGCTGAGCTTATGGGCTATGGTAGTGAGCAGGACTGGATGCAAAATTCAGGCCTACAGGAGAAGGTAGGTAATCAAGAATGAAGTGAGTGCAAAACAAGGACGTAGGTGCTGGCAAGTTGAAGTCCACTTCCAAGGGCTATAATCTACCATTCAAATACTGAGAGAAGCAAATTACACTGAACAAAATATGGTTTGCAAGCCCTCAACATCAAAATAGTGCATGCCTACCTGAAACACAGTCTTACAGAAATCTGCTAGCTGTGTGACTGGGCAAATAATTTAACCTCAGCCTTTTCTGCAATATAATTGTGTCTGTAAAATAAGAACTGTGATAATCAAATGATGCCCATCTCAAGTAGTGGTTGAGACGTTAAATAAAATAGAGGTACTTAACACAGTACTTGTCACATAGTCAATGAACAGTGACTATTAGTTTTCTTTGGCAAGGATGTGTTCATGGGGGAGCTAAGAGTCCTGAATGTAGGTTTCTTGACTGATCTGAACTGGCAGAAGGTAATGGAAGTCCCAAAAACCACCATCTTGCCTGCTTTAGCAACATAGTAGAAAGACTCATTGACAACTGAAAGCCTCATGGCCCCGTAGTAAGAATGGAAGTAGTGTTTTGTATGTGTGCTCAAGCATTCAGAGTAACTGTCCTCCCAAAACCTCATTCTCATAATAATGTAAAAGTTAAAAAGCCACAAAGACAAAGAACAAGAGAGAAGAGTTAAAGTTAATGGCATATGAAAAACACTCAACTGTTGGAAGAAGGGAAGCAGATAGATGACCAACTGGCTTGGTTTTAGCTTTCTCTGAAGCCACCATGCTGCAGCAGAGCGCTATCAAGATGTGGACTGATAACTGCAGGACTCAGGACTAAGTCTCAAGTTGGGATCACTAGTTTTTCTAAGGATGAGGATAAGAAGCAGATCTGAAAATAGATGAGTTTATTGGGCTTTGTAAGAGGAATAAGCACCTTCTCCATCCCCTCCCCTTAACTTAACCATCAGCAGAAAACATTTACCTTCTGGAGAATTTGAGGAGAAAAGGTTGGGGCTCTGGACTGGTTGATATCAGACACATGAGAATAAGAGCACCATAATAAAATTCAAAACAAAAATCAATAAAATGGACAGACTCCTAGCATTATACCCCTGTGTGGCAGAGGTCTAGTGGTCCCTGATATTTATTCCCTGCTTTTTTCTTAGAATCCCCAACTTTTAGCTGGACACACGACTGCTCAAAAAACATCTGCCCGCCTCCCATGTAAGTAAGTGGGGCCATATGATTAAGCTACAGACGGTGGGATGGGCCATTTCTAGTGCCCTTAGAGGAAGTTCTTTCTTAGTTGTCTTCTTCCTTCCCTTTATCCTTGCTGCTAGCTGGGAAATGGGCATGATGAATGGAGGTCAAATAGGATTCTTGGACCATAAAGATCAATAACTATTCGCTGAGAATCTCAGAGCAACAAAATAGGAAGAGCCTGAGTTCCTGATGCAGACATTCAGCATTCCATCCCTGGACAACCTACATCTGAACTTCTTCCGGATGATGAATAAAACAACTTATTTA